TGGGTTGAGGTGAGTTGGGATGGGATGGGATGGGGATGGGAATGGGAAGGTCTGAGGTGGGGTGGGATGGGGTGGGATGGGATGGGGTGAGATGGGATGGGGATGGGATGGGGATGGGGATGGGATGGGGATGGGGATGGGATGGGAATGGGTTGAGGTGAGTTTGGATGGGATGGGATGGGATGGGATGGTTTGAGGTGGGGTGAGATGGGATGGGATGGGATGGGATGGGATGGGATGGGATGGGATGGGATGGGATGGGATGGGATGGGTTGAGGTGAGTTGGGATGGGATGGGATGGGGATGGGGCAAGGGGATGGCACTGAGTGCAGTGGCCATCCTGCTGTCCCAGCATGGCATTATGTCTGTCCTCCCACCAGGCTGATCCTGGGCAAGCCGCTGGGAGAAGGCTGCTTTGGGCAGGTGGTGCTGGCTGAGGCCATTGGCCTGGACAAGGACAAGCCAAACCGTGTCACCAAAGTGGCCGTGAAGATGCTCAAGTGTAAGAGGCGATGGGAGCGGGTCTGCATGCAGCACCCACGTGTGCATGGTGTGGGGGGATGCAGGCCAGCCTCCCTGACTGCTGCCTTTGCTGCCACAGCCGACGCCACAGAGAAGGACCTGTCTGACCTCATCTCCGAGATGGAGATGATGAAGATGATCGGCAAGCACAAGAACATCATCAACCTGTTGGGGGCCTGCACGCAGGACGGTGAGCGGGCGAGGAGGGGCTGCCAGCACTGTGCTGACGGTGGGGTCCAGGCACGTGGCTCAGCCCCGTTCTCCCTCAGGGCCCCTCTATGTCATCGTGGAATACGCCAGCAAAGGCAACCTGCGTGAGTACCTGCAGGCACGGCGCCCGCCGGGTATGGAGTACTGCTACAACCCCACTCGTGTCCCCGAGGAGCAGCTCTCCTTCAAGGACCTGGTGTCCTGTGCGTACCAGGTGGCGCGTGGCATGGAGTACCTGGCCTCCAAAAAGGTGTGAGCTCCATCACGGTTGAGTGCTTAGGAATGGGGCCGTGGGGCTCCGGGCACCGTTTGACAGCCCTGCTCTCTGCACAGTGCATCCACAGGGATCTGGCAGCCAGGAACGTGCTGGTGACCGAAGACAACGTGATGAAGATCGCTGACTTCGGGCTGGCCCGTGACATCCACCACATCGATTACTACAAGAAGACGACAAACGTGAGCGTTCGGAACCCGCTGTGCCAAGCGACCTTTGGCCGTCCCCATGGGCAGCACTGAGCTGATGGGGTTCTCTTGTCACAGGGCCGCTTGCCAGTGAAGTGGATGGCCCCGGAGGCTCTGTTCGACCGAATATACACTCATCAGAGTGATGTGTGAGTATGCCAGGCACTGCCAGGCACTCCTGGTGTAGCTGTGCAAAGCTCTACCTGTGCACCCAGAGCTCTCCGTGATGCCTTTGGTGGCTCACGGTTTGTGCCCACGTGTCTGCCTGCAGTTGGTCCTTCGGCGTGCTGCTTTGGGAGATCTTCACTCTGGGCGGTTCGCCGTACCCTGGTGTGCCTGTGGAGGAGCTTTTCAAGCTGCTGAAGGAGGGCCACAGGATGGACAAGCCCAGCAACTGCACCAACGAGCTGTGAGTGCTGGGGGGGCAGTGGGAACGTGAGCGCCGTGCCTGCGGTGCCATCCGTGCTGAGCTCTGTGCTGGGTGCAGGCAGCTGCACGCTGGGGAAGGCAGATGCTCAGAATTACTTTTGCAGTGTCCCCTTACCTGCAAAACGTCAGCTAAATCTGTTTGCGATGACCAACGTCAGGCCTCCCTTTGCTATTGCTCTGCAGGAGTGAATCCCAAAATGACCCCGCGGCTGTGCCCTCACACAGCAGCCCTGTGTCCTGCCCCACGTCCTTCCTCAGGGGGCTGAGCCCCACTCCCTACCCCACATTCTTCCTCAGGGGGCTGAGCCCCACTCCCTACCCCACATTCTTCCTCAGGGGGCTGAGCCCCATTCCCTGCCCCACATCTTTCCTCAGGGGGCTGAGCCTCACTCCCTGCCCCACATCCTTTCCTCAAGAGGCTGAGCCCCATTCCCTGCCCCATATCCTTCCTCAGGGGGCTGAGCCCCATTCCCTGCCCCACATCCTTCCTCAGGGGGCTGAGCCCCACTCCCTGCCCCACATCCTTCCTCAGGGGGCTGAGCC